CCTTAAATCCCTAAACCCCTAAACCTTAAATCCCTAAACCCTAAACCCCTAAACCCTTAAATCCCTAAACCCCTAAACCCCAAAAGGTCTGCTGCCTGACATTTGGGACTTCTGGGCTTTGAGCCTTGGGCCCCCGCACTTCCTGCTCATAGTGGCAGGTCTGAAAGTTGTTTAGGGTTTAGGGTTTTAGGGTTTAGGGTTTATGGTTTAGGGTTCCCAAGGCAATTCGAGCAGGACACCCCTAAACCCTTAACCCTACTGTAGTCTGGCCCAGTGCTGCAGCGCCAGTGTGGATGAGCGCAGAGTCTCGCATGTGTGATAACCGAAGCAAGAAACAGAAGTGGGACTTTCCGAAAATTGGGGGTACCTTATTTTGGGGGTCATTATAATAGGGATCCCACTATTTAAGGGATATCAGGGTCCCTTATTTTCGGAAACTCCCAAGCTGGTGCATGATGTGATTGATGGTCGGCCGGGCTATCTTGAAGGCGAAGCTCAGGACATTCAACCATGAAAACTCTAAGCTCGAAGACACCCCGAAGCATGAAACATCGAAGCCACAACATGAAGACACTTTCTGCCACGAGGAATGTCACCGTTGAAACTGCCCTGGCCGCCGCTAAGGCCTCGCAGGCAGGGCTCTCTTCCTGTTAGCCGCCCCATCGAAGCAGCTCGATCCGCGACAAATTCCTGGAACAGAGAAGCTGCTGCAAGCATAGGGACCTGGAGAGAAAGCAGTCGAAGACCAACTTCTCAGAGCACGCTTTCAGCCCCCCCTGCTGCGCTCACGTTGTGGAGGGCAGGTACGGCCTTGGCCCCTGGCGTCTCCACGACGTGGGGCCCTGTGCAAAGGGTTTGTGTTCACCAGATTCAGGCGTCAGCTTTTCCTGGTGCATGTCGTCCCCAAGTTTTGCCGCTCCTAAGACGATGACGACCACGACGGATACTGCTATTAACAAGAATCCTTCTACCTCCATGTGCTTCCATTCCGGCCTTGCGACGACGACACGATGATTACGACTCACCCGCAATACCTGGGAGGGAGGCTGGGGGTGTGGGTGCATGGCTTTGCAATTTGTGGCAAAGTCATGCTTCGCTGCTAATCTAGCTGCTCCGACTATTGCAAACGGCGTCAAGTTCAGCTGGTATCACTTGACACCTATGGATGCAGAAAAACTCTAGACTCAACCTTATTCACAGCCCTTACAAGCCGTACACCCGCAAAATGCCCTACGCCCATATCTCCCTCTCTTTCTCTCTTTCCCTGAACCCTAAACCCTAAACCGTCACAGCGGGTGGGAAAAACCGTCACACAATGTTCACGCCGACTGCTGCACCTATGAATCCTCGCCTGGCTTGTCCGAGTTGAGAGAGCGTAAACCCTAAACCGTCGTTGTTTCTCCGTCCCTGCGCTGAGCCGGGAAGGCTCGTGACGACGACACAGTGGCGTCGGCGCTGGCCCGGACAGCCTTGGAGTTGCCAGCCGGACCCAAGGGGGGCCCGGGGTTCATGGGTTTTAAGCAGTGGTGTCTTAAGGTTCGCAGGCCTGGCGCTTTTGCGGCTTGGGATTTCCGGAGGAGGGCGGCGTTCGATTTTTTGGAAGGATGAAGTTGCGGTGGATTTGCGGAAAGATTTGGGGCTGACCGGTTCGATTCCGAGGTTCGTACATTGGAGGTGCCAACAACAAATCTGGTTTACTGAATAATATAGGGGCTTAACTAATTACCTACACTTTTTTTGGGGGGGTTCCTGACTATAACTTAAACTATAAAGGACCCCAAAACCATATTCTAATATTTAATGCCCCTATATTACATAGTTGCTCAACAGTTGCCCCGGCAACGCTTCAGACTTCCACATCATGAAGACTGGCATGCATCTCATGGCATGCAGTGCTGAGCTCAATGGCTGAGATGGGGATCTCATTCAGGAGCCTTGAGAAGAAAGGCTAGGGATGTCAGATATCGATTCAACTTAAGACTTTGGGTGTGCACGCGTGGAGAAGCATACATTTACGAAGCCCCTGGGCCATGGCCCGCATGCTCAGGAAGCTTGTGGTCAAAAGAAACACGGACTTGAGGCCTGTGTGCCTGAAACCGAATTCTCCATGGATTTGGCGTGATGACCCCTTAACAATGCAGCGGCCGAGGACTCTCAACCACCCTCAAACCCTTCCCAGGCACCTCAGCGTCAACGAGACTGTGCGTGCAATGGATGCTGCTGCAAGGGCATCTACGGCGACTACAGCGAACACACTGCAGGCTGGAAGCTGTTCGGGTACATGTGACTTCGATGAGATCTTCTTGTCGGTTTACGGAAAGGTTGACATCTTAGCAAAGGAAGGCCTAGAGCTTGGCCTTCGGTGCAGCCAGCCAGCCGAACTACCCAACAGTCATTCCGAAGCAGACACTGGCCATCGCGAGAGAGAAAGAGAGACAGCGAGGTAGGTAAGATTAAGCACACCTTGGGTAGCCGGACAAGCCGACGGCAGTTGTGTGTGTGTGTGTGTATGTGCGCGTGCGCACGTGCGAGCGGGGTTGCGCCCTGCACGACCGGGACCAACAAATCCTGTAAGAAGTGTAGACTCTGTTGCAAACTCAACTATGTAGCGATGTATGTACAGCGACGTGAATCTTCCGTAGTCGCATGATGTCCAATTTTCAATGCATCAAAGACCAAGCACCGGGACAAAGCATTGACATCCTCAAGTCCATCATACCCCTGAGCCGGAAGCCACTGGATGCAATACGCGTTTGAGCACTGAAAATCCGGGGCACCACCTCAGAAATCAGATCCCCTAATTTGGGGACCCTATACTACTAAAGGGTCTTTATAGGAACCCCCCCTTAAGGGATCTACTTTTTGGATCCTCCCGGGGGAGTGTCTCCTGTTCTTGGCGCCTCGGCCGGCCAAAGTCGAAAAATGCATGTCCTGGACTCCCTGTGGTCCTTTTCAAACCCCTCATAGAACCTTCGGTTTAGGGTTTAGGGTTTAGAGTTTAGAGTTTAGGGTTTAGGGTTTAGGGCCTTTACCAGAGGCCGTGAGAGGTCTTCAAACTTTGAAACCCTCATGGAACCCCTCTAAGACCCATGTAAATCCTGAGCTTCAATCCCCAAAAAACCTCCCTCAACCTTTTTAGGGTTTAGGGTTTAGGGTTTAGGGTGGGCCTTGCCTGCTTCTGCCAGTGGGAGAGTCGAAACACTGAACATCCTTCAACCAACGACCCCCGCCTCAAACAAAAAAACATGAATTTTACAAGGCCACCAAACCCAACATAGCCACAAACCCTGAACCCGCAGCCCTAAACCCGCCTAAACCCAAAGCCCCGGCATAAACACTAAACCCTAAATCCTAAACCCTATACCCTATAAACCCGAAGCCCTAAACCCGCATAAACCCAAAGAGCCCCGGCAGCCTCAGGGAGGGTCCTCGGAGTCTCTGCGAGACTCGGTGTTGAAGGCGGCTCGATCGGCGGGGCTCACCGAGCCGCAGGCCAAGGGTCTGGAAAGGGTTAGGGTTTAGGGTTTAGGGTTCAGGGTTTAGGGTTTAGGGTTTAGGGTTCAGGGTTCAGGGTTTAGGGTTTAGGGTTTAGGTGCTCGGGGGTTGCTGTAAAAGGTATTATAGGGGTTCTGCAAGAGTTTAGGCTTCAGGGTCTTGAGGGTTTTGGGGTTAGGGTCAGGGTGTAAGGGTTACTGTAAGGTTTGGGGCGTCCGGTGTAGTGGTTGTTAAGGGTTTAGGCAAACACTTGCAAGTGAACATGCCCGACGGTGCGATGTCACATCCACATCCCTTTCGATGTAGGTTGAAGAAAAAGTAAGCCCGTATTACACGCAACTTCCCTGACTTCCGAAACTTGGTTCTACCCAGAGGCCCCATAGTAGTTCCTTTTTGGGATTACCTTATAGGATTCTATATATGAACCCCCAAAAGGAACTACTTTAGGGCCCTAAACCCTAAACCCTAAACCCTAAACCGCAATGCCCTGAGACGTTGGCAGGTGGACCGGATCAAGACCGCCCTGGTCACAATAGACCACAGGCGCGGAAGCATAAGATATGTTTAGGGTTAGAAACTTATTGGCTGTAAACTCAACTTTTCAACTTTTGGGGTTCTTATTAGGTTTTTGGGCCAGTGAGGAAATATGGGCCCCTAATATGGACCCTTAGGCCTTTCTAGGGATCCTTAAGGTACAGACAGGGTATATAGTAGGTGTGTAAGGATCCCAGGGTTTAGGGCCCATACTAGGGGGCCCCACCTTGGGATATGGGAGTTTCCGAAATAAGGGGGGTACCTTACTTATTTTGGGGTCCTTATAATAAGGATCCTACTATTTGGGGTATGACGGCTTGGGGAGGGCTGGGCTTTGAAAGGCTGGAAGAACTAACTAGCCCTTTTTAGGGTTTAGGGTTTATAGGGTTCAGGGTGCATGCCCCTTCGATTTCGTCAAGAGTGTGAATATGAAGCTAGAGATACTCCGAGCAAATGGCGCTTGAAGTGCATTCCTGGGTTGCTGAACAGATGTCTGGGCCAGAAGAACGCTCCACATGTGGCTTTGCCTGCTGCCCTCGAATCGCCAGGAACTACGTCTCTGTCCTGAATGTTATGAAAGCTGCCAGCAATGCCAGCAGACCCGAGCTATCTACAGCAGAGAAGGCGCGACTTGAATCAGAAGCTTGTGTTATCTGGCTCATGACTTTAGACATTTCGGGGCTCGCCTCGCAATCGCGAGCACCTGATCCCCAAGCAGTCATCCACCGATCCGTCGCAATGCCACTGCCTGCAAAGAGTATTCTCGACTGATACGGTGAGATCTTCGACTCCAAAGGATGAAAACGATCCTCGCCTGGCCTTCCGAATCGTACTGTCACTGTCAGGTCGCTGCTGTCGTTTCCGCAACTGCTGTGGCGAACTTCAGCCGCCAACAGGCGCCCCTGAAGTTTCAGGCACCATCTAGGCGCAAGACTGAAACCCATCAATGCCCCGTCCTCACCTGTGCATTGCATTGCATTGCTGTGTGTACAGCCTCTCGGGCTTTAAGCAGAGCCCAACGCAGTATTGTGCAGGGCTTCCTTGAAGCCGGGCGGCTCATTGTCGTTTCGTAGAAGCGTCGTGTGGAGAATGCCGTCCAGCTCTCTCGAGAATTACCAGCACTGGTGAGGTGCAGGTAGAGCGGCAGCAGCAGAAGCAGCAAAACCAGCCGGAATAACTGTAAAGAGGAATACAAAACAATGCCAGCATAGATTTCCAAAGAGTGGCCCCCGAAGACACTGACGAGCAGGAGATGGCACAATCCACTCAGAGACCATAAGGAGACCAGCAGGGACCACCGACCGCCTAAGTAGGGTCCTTGCTATACTGCGTACCACTGTTTGGGAATCATAGAATTGTAGAAAAAGTCAAGTGCATGTCGTTAGTGTGATCATTAGCATTTCATCGCCTGTCCATGGTCTTTTCGTTGTCAGCACCATGACGATGGGACCAGCCAAAATTGGTTGCTGCTCGTTTTGATGTTGCACCTGTACAGCCCTCGAAATGCATCCATACATACAGGCTTTCAAGTATCATGCATGCATGAGTAGATACATGCCATCATGAGCACGACACGACTGTCTCCATTGCCATCTCTGCCTTTCTCTTTCGCAGTACACAGAATAAAGCAGCCCAACCATTGTAAATGTTCAGCTTGTTAAAGCCGGCTTCGGGAAGTCCGTGTCTTGCTCGGTGTCACCGCTCTTTCTCAGGGTTCTGGGTTCTTAATATGAGCCCTAATATAATGGGGTTATAGGGCCAGGGTTTCTTAATCAGGTTCCTACATTATTTGTAAGAGTGTCCTCTTCTCGACTGCTGGCTAGGACGGCAAGACGCGAATCATGGCAATAGAAAAGCTTTAAGCTGAGCACACTGGAGGTGGCTATGGCAGCTGCAAGCGCGACTCGCGCAGCCGTAGGACGCCCGTCGTGACATAGACTGTGGTGATTGCGGCGCTGGGCAGTGCATGTGCACACGTGTGCGGAACCGGCACTCGCCATCATAAGTCGTTTAAACCCCACTTTCCTTTGACTCTATAGAACTTTGAATCCAGATTCGCGAAAACTGCGAGATTTGAAGTCAGTGCCGAAGCAGGTAAGGTCAGAAACATTGCAGCTGTTCGGCACTCGCAGAGGATCTTCTGCAGCCACAGCTGCACCTTTGTCGTCGGTGGCAAGGACCTGGGCATGCAAGGTCCTAGTCGACTCCTCGAGCCAGTACGAACCGGACCCCTCAACCCAACTACAGCTTTGATCCGTTACTGTTTAGCGAGGTTCCCCAAACAAGAAGTTATGCACTCCACTTCGTGGTCATTCACTAGAAATGCATGGTTGCCAAAATTATGGTCCCTTTTTGGGTCCTTATTATAGTATGGCACCTATTATTTAGGGTGGGGTTTAGGGTTTAGGGTTTAGGGTTTAGGGGCTCCGTGTCGGGGAATTCTTCGAGCCGAGCCGGCACGCTTGCCAAGATCAATCGCAGAGGTGGATGGATGGATGGATGTACGTATGGAATTGTGTATCAAGTATGTACGTATGTATGTACGTATGTATGTAATGTATGTAATGTATGTAATGTATGTAATGTATGTTATGTATGTATGTATGTATGTATGTATGTATGTATGTATGTATGTATGTATGTATGTATGTATGTATCCTCTCTCTCTCTACATATATATATAATATGTAGATATACATTAATAGCTCTTTTTATCGCTTGCATGCACAGAAGCCAGCTTCGTGCGAGGAGTGCGGCAGCTGCGGGCCTCAGCGTTTCAGCACAGGCGGCCGCTGTGGCAGCGGTAGGCGGCTTGCTCCAGAGTCGGAGATTTGAGATTTAAGAGCTGTTGTGCCATTGTGTGCCAACTTTTTGGTGGACGTATCTACGTGTGCAAGCTCAGAAAAGAACGCAAGCGCTGGTGCGTGGAGCCTATATGTTGCCACGCATATATGACAAAAACCGAGAAGGCGCCACAGCTATCAGTACGCTCCGTAGTGCGCAGCACGAAGCACGTTAATCTAATCTGCGACTTTATCCACGAAGGCCTGAGCAGTATGTGCAAGACGCATACAACTCGCAGGCACAGATCACGGCAGTTGCTCCGAGTTTTGATTGTCCAGGTGCTGAAAGTCCGCGCTCCCAGCTGGCCATCGCGAACATGCCGGCTGGCAAGTTCAAGTTGGGAGCAGCAAACTAACCAGCGGCAGGAATCTAGGGAGGACTCTGTGTGAAGGCTTGAAATAATTCAGTGAAGCGGTAACAGTGCAGGGTCAGTACAGGGACCTGGGAGTGACGGGTGGTATGTCATGCGGGCCTTTTGAGCTTCGGACACTGCATGTTATGTGTTTTTCACGAGGTTCAGCAGCGCTGCGGCAGCTTCCGCCACGCCCAACATGGACATGTGGACCGGAGGTACTCGTGTTGAAGTTGGGAGACGGTGAGCGTGAGCTTATCATTTAAAACAACGGGCGTTGTCTGCTTGAAATCGTTCGTGGCTTCGGGACTGGCTTCGTTGCCATGGCAGGAATCTGCGTCATCGCAACAGAGATATTCAAAGAGAGCAGCGCTTGCATGAAAATCCTCTTGTCCGCAAAAGCTTTTGTGAAGTTTATGTGCGCACAAGCAGACGGGCACAGCCTGGCAAAGATTGATTTCAGTGTACCACACGGACCTCTATGCAAATGCAATTCCCTTGTTGGAGAAATGCCCATGAACGTGTCAGCGGCAAGACCTCACACGGAAATTCTCCAAGGGTTTGGGTTTAGGGATGTTTAGGGTTTAGGGTTTAGGGAAAACTCTCCAAGGGTCAAGGTCGGAATCACACCCGCCGAGGGCCGCGACATCCAAAGCATCCTGCCTGGGTTCGGCTATGGAGAAACCCTATAAACTCTAAACCGAAAAACCCTAAACCCTAAACCGAAAAAGCCCTAAACCCTGAACCGAAAAAAGCCCTAAACCCTGAACCGAAAAAACCCTAAACCCTGAACCGAAAAAACCCTAAAGCCTAAACCCTACAGCTCCTGCCAGGGTTCGGCTATGGAGATTCCTACGGCGACGACGAGGAACGATCCTGGGATCCGGAAGCCACCAGCGTCGCTTGGCACTTTTCATCCAATGTGGGAGTTTCCGGAAATATGGGGTCCTTTATTTTGGGGGTCCTTATATTTATACTACTTCTGGTACTAAAAATGGGGTCCCCTATTTTCGGAAATCCCCATGTCTTCCCAGCGTACGAGGGTACCGGCGACTGCACCCTGGCGACTGCTAGATTATCATGCCCATCTTCAAGTTCAACTTGCATGCAGTAGCTTGGGCTTGTCTACATACGAGAACTGTGAGTGTTGATTGTGCTGGGGAGCTTAAAAGTTTTGAGGTTGAAGGTAACTTTGATCTGTCATCACACCTCATGTAATATGTCGGGGTCATGCCCGACCCCCAACAAAGACTGCAGAACTGGACAACTCGTCTTCGCAAAAGCCGTCGGACTTGGCGAATGCTTTGGCCCGAGTTACCCGTAAAGCTCTCGCCTTTAAGTTCTGACTACGAGAAGATGCCGATCTTGATGGGACTTTCGCTTGTCAGAGGTCTAGGATGGCTAGGATGTTTCCGGCTCCAGCTCCCTGACACATACGGCGGCAGTGAAAGCTAGCGATGTTCCATAAGGGCTAGCAGTTGTGGAAGGCCTTTAGAGGAGGAGGCCGGGGTCTCCGAAGCCTTCTGTAAGGGTTTAGGGTTTTGGGTCCTCATAAAGCTTCCCAGCTGATCAACAGAGTCTGGGTTCAAAAAAGGGTCCTCATACAGCCCTTATAGAATCTTATAGAAAGCCCTGTCGAACCCTTAAAGAAGCCTTTGGCAAAGGTCGGCCGCAGGGTCGCGGAGGAGGTTTATGATGCTCCGATCCCAGAGAAGGCCGGCGTTGAAAAGATTGGTACGGCTTTTCGGGGTCGGACGAAATACTGTAGTGAATAATCATCGCCTTCTCCAGAGTCGCCCAGATAAAGCTGAATTATAGCATCTCCCTCAACCCTGTTCTGATGAGTCCGGGCCCTAGCTAAATTACGTCTTGCCAGAGACTAACAGCTTCGGGGCTCCTTACCTGAGTGTGTTTTCTGCTTATGAGCAGCTCGAAGCTCGGATGTTCTCGAAGGTTCAGGGTTTAGGGTAACGGTTTAGGGTTTAGGGTTTAGGGTTTAGGGTTTAGGGTTTAGGGTTTAGGGTTTAGGGTTTGGGTAGGGAAGACGAAGGGTTCTGGTCTTCTGATCTGATCTCTCAGCCGAACGGTTCCCAACATGGAACCTCCAAGATCTCGAGCACGAAAGTTTACGGAAAGTTGTTTGGGATTGAGCCTAGGGTTTACCCATAGGCCCTAAAGTAGTTCCTTTTTGGGGGCTCATATATAGAATCCTATAAGGAATCCCCAAAAGGAACTACTATGGGGCCTATGGGTAGGGCTTAGGGTTCGAAGCCATGACCCCCTTGCCTCCTGGGCGTCTCCGAAAATAGGGGACCCTAATATAGTACCCTAAATAATAGGATCCTTATTATAAGGACCCCAAACTAAGGTACCCCCTATTTTGGGAAAGTCTCTCCTGTCAGGAGAAGAGAGCTATAGTCGCCTCAGCAACCTGGGCAGCTGCCCGTGCCGAAACCGCCAGCCGCCAGCTGAACGGCACTGCTGGGATGCCCGGCGAGGTCGCAGGTGCCTTGGCCTTGTCAGATCAATATGTTTAGGGTTTAAGGCTTAGGGTTTTGGGTTGAGGGTTTAGGGTTTCGTGCATGAGTGGTGGGAGATGAGCTTCGGGACGGTAGAAGCAACAACGACTGCTCTCGGGTTATATAGATCTACAGGAATCTACACAGACCTTTGGGAAGAGCAGGTGAGGGCGTAATGAGCGGCCATCTTGGGTGGACCTAGTCAAGGCTCCGCATACTCGCGCAACCTGCAAGACATCCCGATTTCGAGGTGACTTTCTCGCCCTGAGCCGTGCATCGCACGCTGCTGGCTTCTCGGACAGCGCCACGGCAGTCATGAAACACCAGTGGCAGGACTCTTCGGCTGGAGGGCTTCGTGGGCATGTCAGGTTTACATTTGGGTGGTTGTCAAAATTATGGAGTCCTTGTTATAACACGGCACCTATTATTTAGGGTACCCCAAAAGGGACCTTGGAGGTTCATGGGTAGTTATAAGTGGGGTTATAAGTCCCCTAATATGGGTTATAATTATAGTTACCCTACTTATAACCCTACTTATATTCACCCAGGAACCCCAAAACCCTAAACCCTTAAAGGAACCCCCATAACCCTACTTATAATTACCCTTGAACCTCCAAGCAGGCGACAGCAAACATCACCCAGAGCCACGACATGCTGTGGAAACCTTGACATGCGTACAGACGACACACGTGCGACAGAAACGGTAATTTTTGCATGCGGGGGTCTCAAAAAATAGGGGACCCTAGTATAGTACCCTAAAAAATAGGATCCTTCTTATAAGGACCCTAAAGTAAGGTACCCCATATTTTCGGAAACTCCCATGTGTAGTGAGGAGAATCTGGACTCTCGAAGCTCCTATGTATGCGCCCAGCTCGGCCCCACAAAGGCATTTTTCAGCATTGCCATAATACTCGTGGATACTTTCTGTACCACCGAGTCGCGGCATGCCTTAGACCGACGTTGAAGAGTTGCAGCAATCGCTCCTTGCACTCAGGGGCATGTTCGGGGACGTGTTTTCCAATGCTGCAGGGCTTACTTGGAGGTTCATGGGTAGTTATAAGTGGGGTTATAAGTCCCCTAATATGGGTTATAATTATAGTTGCCCTACTTATAACCCTACTTATAACTACCCATGAACCTCTAAGTAGTTTCATGACCTATCTGAATGGTGAAGCGAGACCTTAACCACTTTCAAAACCCTAAACCCTAAACCCTAAACCCTAATTCACCCTGGAGGACATGAGCTCACAACAGCGTGCCGTTGCAGCGAAAGTCCTCGAAGCCGTGTCCTCTGCACAGGGCCAGAAGCGACCGGGAAAAGGACTCCTGCAGAGTTGGGGTACCCAGAGCCTCCAATATCCCTTAATTAAGGAATATACTACCTTAAATCTTATTAGGGTTCCTACTATAATTTAAGGTATATTCCTTAATTAAGGGATATTGGAGGTTCTGGGTAGCCCATGAAAGCCAACCATGGTGCATCCCACGCACCTGTACCATAAACCATTCTAAGGGCTTTAGGAGGGACCCTTAATGGGGACCCTTTGTAGGTTTTTGGATTATACAATGGTTATTTAAGGTAATGGGATTAAGGGTCCCTATTAGGGGTTCCTCCTAAAGCCCTTAGAATCATGGCCAGGATTCATCCCTAAACCCTAAACCCCTAAACCCCTGAACCCTAAGCCCAGGATTTACGAATATTGCGGCAGTGAGGTTTGGTGGAGCCGATTCTTCCAGGCTCCCCGGGCCCGCCCCGACAGTCCCCAGCACTCGATCTCTGAACGGGTACCAGAGGGGCTTCACGTAATGAGGGGCCCTTGGGATTTATGTAGGTTTCAAGTTTTAATAGACTGGGAACGTAATGAGGGGCCTTTGGGGTTTATATAGGGTTTTTAGGGTTTAGGGTTTAGGGTTTAGGGTTTAGGGTTGTTTATAGGGTTGAATAGAACGAGATTTGATTCGGGCCATCCTTAAGCCCGGAAGGTTCTGGGAACCCAAGGCCATACCCCTCCATTTCTGCAGCGTGAGGCCATGGCAACCAAGTCTGAGAGAATATCACGGCAATCACGGAAGTTCCTTTAATCGGTTGTGCCCCATGCGAATTCGATGGCTACGGCTACTGCCAACGATGATCAAAACGCCCTGAAATCCCAGGCCGAGAGGAACATATCTTGAACCGTGTTCAAAACGGCCTTGAAAACCGACCTCGCGGCTAGCGGCTACCGTAGGGGCCTAAATAATTACCAATACTATTTTGGGGGCTCCTTATTATGATTATGGTAGAACGAGCCCCAAAACCCTATTCTCATTATTAAGGCCCCTATTTTGGACTTCTCGATTCTGAACCTCTTCATTGGTCACATTGCACCACGACAGTAGGTCCACTGCCTCCATGGCAGGCGCAACAGCAGTCAGTCTGATGTGGGCTACCCAAGTGACAGAGTGACAGCGCTGTCACACATTCACATAAATTCATAGCATACCGAAAAGACTTCAAACCCCCATCAACATGAGTTTGTTGCACCAAGATCTCTCAGACTTGAATGAAGGATCATCTTCTGCAGAGCGCGTCGCTTCCGTCGTACGGGCATTGGAGGACGCAGGTGCGCGGCTGAAGATCAAAGCTCTGTGGGCTTCGTTCATACTTCGGGGTTTGGGGCTTCTGAGAGCTCATAGCCTTGGGTTCCAGGATTTGCATAAGGTAGGGGCCTTAATAATTAGAATATATTATACTATAAATAAAATAAGAAACCCCCGAAATAGTATAATAGGTAATTATCAAGGCCCCTATATTAAGTACATACATCTTTAGGCTCTGCAGGGTTCATAAGGATTCCGGGGCCCAAGGTCTGAGAAATCGTTGGATGTGGGTGCAAGGGCCGGGCTCGAAACAGGGACTTCTCTCTCAAGCTGACCCTGACAGTCTTGTTTCGGTCCTACAGGGGGTTTGAGGGTTTTGGGAATTCAATGACAAAAGACCGTAGGGCTAGAAGTTGCCTGTGAGCACTGAGGTGTTTTGAGGTACTGCGGCGTTGCGCCGACACACGAACAGGGTGTAGGGCTCGTCTGGTTTCTTCAACCATGTTTGAGCCAAAGTTTGCGCCTCTTGTTGTTTCCTGGTGGAAATTCTCATGTTGTCACATTCTTGCCAGCCCTTTGCGATTTCCGAGTTGGTTTCCCAACCCTGCTACCAGCAACCGCCCTCACTTTCTCAGACGGTATGCGTGAGCCTGTTGAAGTCTGCATAATCAAGCTCCATAAGTGCATGACGGACGCCTAAACCCTAAACCCCAACCCCTAAACCCTAAACCCTTAACCCTAAACCCTTAACCCTAAACCCTAAACCCTAACCCCAAGCTTCCGAAAGACCCCGGGGTATGCAGGCGTCCCGGCGAGCGAAGAGGCCGCCTTTGCTGCTGAGGCCCTCCGCCACGGCGCGGCCGTCGAAGAAAATCTCCAGGTGCTTCCCCGACACGTCTGTTCCCAGTCTTTCCTTGAGGGTTTAGGGTTTAGGGTTTAGGGTTGAGGGTTGAGGGTTTAGGGTTTAGGGTTTAGGGTTGAGGGTTTAGGGTGTAGGGTTTAGGGTTTAGGGTTTCTTGAGGGTTTAGGGGTTTAGGGGCAGGGAACGGGCAGGAGAAGGAAGGAGGGCTCTCAGAGGTGGAAGAGGAGAAGGAGCATAAGGGGGTTTCCGAAAATAGGGGACCCTAATATAGTACTCTAAATAGTAGGATCCTTACTATAAGGACCCCCAAATCAGATACCCCTTATTTTCGGAAACTCCCTTTGGGTAACCGGTGGCGGCAGGCTTTTGTCGTCGCTGTTGGATCAGGTGGGGCCTGGCTCAAAGACGATCTTGGACGATATCGTTGACCTGGTGAAGTCTGCGGGCCTGGGTCACTGGGAGCCATCTTAGAATCCCATGACGTATCTAAGTTATCCCGAACTCTGCGTTTGGGGGAGGGGGCGCTGTACTCGTAGCAAGTGTCCGGTAGAAATATCCTTAAACTGTGCATTCTTTATGGGCGCGCCCCCCTGCCCCAGTGTCAAAATGTGGGCCTGGTAGAATCTGCAGGACAGCTCAGCACCCTTCGATCCTAGGCTCTGCGCAGCAAAGTGGCATCCTTCAGGTGGTCGCATCAATGCAGCCCGCGGAGCCATGTCAGAGATCCATGCGAGAACAAGGGGTGCACCCCTTCGGTTCTACGATGTTCTACGGCAACTGAAGCCTGAAGCGGTCGGGGATTGCACTAAGTGTGAGAAGTTTCGCACCATGGGCTTTCTTTGGATGCAACAGTGTCGTCTGAGCTCAAAGGAGTGTCTTGTTGCGAAAGCTCTGGGGGTGCAGCCCGGGCCTGTAACTCCAATCTCCCAAAAGCGATTCTCCCTGACTCCAACCGCCACCGCCGCTGCAAACTCTAAGCACATCCAAGCCCTTGAGCAGAAGCCAGGAGAGGCGGGCCATCGCTCGCATCTGGGCAGCTGCCGGTAGCTTGACTTCCCCTTAAACAGTAATCGGAGCGGTTCCTCGAGCACTTGTTCAGGAGATACTTGAGCTACTGTATACCGCCGGGCTTCCTTTCATGCACAGGATCTGCGATGCATGCGATTGCCCTGGCAGCAATCATGGCTCATGCCACGGGCTTCTCTAAAGCCCCCACAGTTTGGTTTTAGTGTTATGGCATATGGCAACTTCTCGCTGCTACGACAGGCAATCGAAGCAGCACTGCGCCTTTCATCACACATGCCTTGGATCCAGGCAAGGTTTGAGCGTGTTTCATGGCTTGCATGGCCGGGTGACAGATCTGGTGGGCGCATCTACGAAGACTGGTTAGCGTCTATGTTGGGAGCTATACTACGTAGCATTGCGACCCTACTTCATCCATACTTGTTCATACATTTACATATGCGCACATATGTATGTATGCATGTATGTATGTATGTATGTATGTATGTATGTATGTACATACATACGTACATACATACATTGTATATATATATATGTACATACGTGTTTTTGTTTGTGTGTGTGCGTGCACGCATGTACCAGTACAGACATTCATACCTACATATACATACAGACCCACCTTCGTACAGCAAGCCACTGCAATACAGCACAGTACATATATGCAAAAACAAAACAAATGATAACGCGGTTCGAGGCGTTACGACACAATGCAACACAACAGCAGGTACAAATAAATGCATACAAACGACAAAGACCGTCTCAGACAACTGCACTATGAATAGAATACATTTAGACCACATTACATGCTGTATGCCCGGAGGCAAGCAGTCCGAGCAGAGGCACCGGCAGGGGCTGTCATGTTGCACTAGTTGAAGCAGGATGCCAAACGTAAATATGACAGTGCCCTGTGTAGGCCCTGAATGTTGATTCTGCCGTGATGAATGAGAATTGAGAGGTGAAAGACGACGAACCAGGATCTGGGTAGGGTCGTAAGCTTGCTTGAATGACGTGGCTTTTGCTTCGGCCCAACCCTGCCTTGCAACACCCTTCAGCACAGGGCGCATAGCCAAATTGCAAGGCATTGCCTGAACGGTGTGTTCTGCTATGAACCGAAACCCCGCCCGCAAGGTCGCAGGAGCGAACACAAAGCACTGATCTAAACCCTAAACCCTTTTGGTGGCTACAGGCTACACCAAGCAAGCCCCACCTCGCATGTCGCCGGACGATTCCAAGCGCTGTGTGCAGCGATCGTGAACTTCAGGGGTAGGGTTTAGGGTTCAGGGTTTAGGGTTTAGGTCAAATGCAGCCTTGCGAAGCTCGCGCTACCCTGCTGCTCGTGTTGTCCACATCGTGAAACTCCGAGCCCAAAGGTATTGAATCGGAGCAATGTGCAATCGCTAACCCCAGCATCCGCTCCCCAAACAACATGCCTCATTCTAATTATCTCGCTTCATCACTCGAGGAGTCATGGGATAGACAAGACTGACGCTAGCCATGCATGAGGCCGCCTTTTTCGACTCCTGCACCTCCTTCTGACGCTCGGTCGTGAGAGATAGCCTTGTGAGAGCCCGGTGGCTCCTTTGAAGGTTCTGAACCTTCCGGCCGGAAAGCTTGGAAATCAAGCCCGCCTGTCTCAACAGCTCGATTGCTTTCTGTTCGGTTTCGGGGCCAGTGAGTCAAACTCAATCCCAAAGGCAAAACCCGTCAAGCAGTGCAGGAGGCACATCCAAGCAGAAATCCTCAAAGCCGTTCGATCATTGCCGTGTCGTTCAGCTTTACGCGCATGCCACAAACTTGAGAAATGGGATTTTCCCCCGGGGTGAAGGTTGAGCTGGTGACAGTCCGCTTTCCACCTCTGAATTCTGATGACCCTTGTTATGATACTGTATTCAAGGACCTTACAAAAGATGCAGAGAAGGCCCTTGACTTGTTGAATGTCGTGGTCTACGCAGCCATTCAGGCATGGAGGGCTCGTGCTTGCAGTTCGGGTGTTTCTCGCTGCATTTACGCGGTCAAACTTTCCGGTAAGTCTGCTGGGAAGCACAGGTCTTCTAATGCATAAACCAGCAGTGTATGTCTGTATGTCTTATATGTGTGTATGTGTGTTTATGGCATAATATGCCGGTACGCATGCATGCATGTTTGCAAGTATGTGTCGTGTATGTCTGCACTCGTATATCTGATCTGTGTATGTTTGTGTGTGCATGTGGTTATGTATGTACGTGCATACGTACGTATGTATGTGTGTATGTGTGCAAGTCTGTATTTGTGTATGTCAGCACGTATGCATGTATGTCTGTAGTCCTTTCTCCCTTAGTATTGTGCATGGACGTACGTATGTATGCATGTATGTCAGTGTAGGTAGGTAGGTAGGTAGGTAGGTAGGTAGGTAGGTAGGTAGGTAGGTAGGCAGGTAGGTAGGTAGGTAGGTAGGTAGGTAGGTGGGGCAGGTAGGTAGGTAGATAGGTAGGTAGGTAGGTAGGTAGGCAGGCAGGTAGGTAGGTAGGTAGGGGTAGGTAGGCAGGCAGGCAGGCAGGCAGGTAGGTAGGTAGGTAGGTAGGTAGGTAGGCAGGCGGCTAGGGTACGTAATAAGGTATGTATACGTGCCGATCTGCCTTCAAAGGGTTGTTCAACAACCCA